GCAACCAGACATCCCTGTGACAGAAACCCCTGAGAGCCCAATAGTCTGTCCAAAACACAGTGGTGTTAACATAAAGCACATCTCACAGCCAGTTTCAATTAAATACCCAGTCAAGGAGACTGAATTAATGGAGCTCACATTTTCATAAAGCACTGTAGTAACAGCAGTTGCTCTGAAGTATGAGATCTAAGTTGTAAAGCCTCCTCAGTCAGAAGAAATTCAAATTCACATGTTAACAAACAGAAGGCCATCAGAAAAAGGTGTTATGGAGATTCTGTGCTTTCCCATCCTGAAGATGGGAAACCTATGGTAAAAAACTAAGTATTTACATGACAGAAGAGAAAATACGGGGAACGTGACAGTAGCCTGTTGATGAGAAAGCTCCCTGACACAGTGAGAGTCCTGGATTCAAATCCTGATTTCTCACGTCTCTTACTGAATTTTATTGGGCAGAAATAGTAGGATAGCCATCTAGCTTGATGGTTGACTTGTGAAACCTGCCAAGAGAGAGGCACCTTGTTTCTGTCTACAGGAGAATTTTGAAGTTTTCTCTTGCCAATCCAAGTATGGGCTGTCACCAGCTGGATAATTTCCTGTGCTCCTCAGTGCCCTACTGTGTGTTCCTACAGTCTACCTTGTGTTGCTATTAGCAGCTGGGTGGGTGTATGGTAAAACAGAACAGCTTGCTTACACTCTGAAAAAAGGCAAAAAGGATTAGTTTTTACCCAGACCAGCAAGCTAATCCATTTTGTGCAGCTGCTCAATCACCAAACCCAATTGCGTAAGTGAAGAAAGAATGCATACTGGAAGATGTGGGTAGTAGCACCCCTTTCAGGGCAGCAAAATCTTAATCCATCTGAAATCATACTCCAGGCATGGACAAAGTTAAAACATAACCTTGTCTTTAGCACTTCACTATTAGCTAATTGTTCTCTGTTCAGTATAGTTGATTTTTGTGGATTTTATTACCACTACTGTAACTATGAGCCTAGGAGCTCAACTCAGAGGAATGAGGATGGTAATATATACATACCTGAGGGCTTTTTGCAGCAAGCAGCCACAGCCAAATTGCCCTGGGGCTGTTTGATCAGAAGTTATGAACCTCACAGCAGAGCCAGCGGAAGGGGGTGCAGGCATCTGCTGTTCTCAGTGCGAAGTGCAGAAGGAGGTCCGAGAGGTTAAACTGCTGGATCCGGCACGGAGCTGTTTGGGTGAGCCCATGCGCTCCAGTCCGCTGTCCTGGCACAGGAACAGCAACCTCCAGCTAAGAGATACAGCGGGCAGGGACAAGTAGCACTGCTGAGATCAGTCAAAAGCTGTTAACATCCTTAAGCCCGTGCAGCAAAGGGATGTTTGCCCCTAAAGACCCATTTTTGTGGGGCTAACACTTTCATTAAGAGGCAACAAAAATTGTCATAACGCTTGCTGAGAAGTGAGACTGCAGGACTTTTCATGTTGATGGATTCATAAGAATGGGTACAGATTGAATTTAAATAGTTACAGTTCATTAGCACTGCAGCTACTCCAATGTAATTTATTTTCTACGCACTTGACTGCATATAAATTAGACTTGTTTGTAATACTTTTTACATTCACTCTTTTCATCTAGAGTGTTTTACTTCATCTACTACTGTAAATCCTTCAGAAAAAAACAAACTTACATAGATAAAGAATTGATTACACAACAAAAGTAGGAAACTGTCAGTTCTACGTTGCTCTTCAATGCTCAGGGAAAGTGCTGCAGATAAAAATATTAATTTATGGGAAGTTTCAGTTCCTTTATACTTCTCGATGTATTAGCCTGCCAACCCAACCTTCATCCTCACAGATGATCTATGGTAATTTGCCTTGGAATTTTTCTTGTAACAACGAATATCCAGGAGAAGTATTAAGCTAGCAGCACAACCATTTTTATTTTCAAATATCCTGCCACACTGTATTTAATAAACAAACACATATACCATCAAGCATCTACTTATGAACAATAAGCATTCATGACCTAGCTAAATATAATCCTAAATCTGTAGTACCATGATACTGCTTCTCAGTCTGAGTAACTACTCCCTCAACCCTCAGAAATGCAACTTCTGTAGCCAGCATTTAAATCACTACTAGTTAATTCAGGACAATCGATTATTATTTGTATTTACAAAAACAAAAACCCGCTTAAGTAACCCCCCCCTCAGAAAAGTAGACAGTAGGCTTCCTAGACATCAAGAAAAATTACTAGCTACTTGAGGAATTATGGTACCTTTAAGGAGTCTTAACATCCAGAACTTGGATCCTCCCTGCCAAATACTACTTGGCAAAATAGTAACAGAAGACAGTCTACATCACACACAACGTAAACTTCAGAAAGAAAATTAACCAAGTTGAATCTGGATGGGCATAGTCAGAATGTGTCAAGAAAGCTGTTATGATGACACAGGTCTGATGATAACAAGAAAAAAACAAATTAATATGGAAAAAACATATATAAACCAACAAACTGCACATTTCAAGAAAGTATAAGCTACCACTAATGGCAGGAGAACAGGAAAACCCCACTAGTATTCTTTTCATTTGATGTGGGAGGTAGGAAAAGGAACATGCCTATACATGGGAGAAGGCTCTAGACAGACCAGAGAATACTTTTAAAACTGATGCAGTTTGTAGTGATAGCAATGTATCTATTTGGTTTGGAGGTGATTTTGTGAAATGTGTGGGATACTAGCCCTTAGCAAAAGTAATCCTAAGATCTACTTTAAGCCTCAGATGAAATTACTTTTGCATGGGGCAGAAGTGATGGGCAGGAAGGGGTTCAGGGGAATTTGGGTGACAAGTGAAAACAACTTGCCTTAAAACCTTGTTTATCCTGCAGAGCTGAAGATAATCTAATTTGTCAAGGTCCTGTGCAAAACCAGAGAACCTATACAGCAATTTAAGTGAAGGCTATGAGTAAAAAAAGAATGCGGTAACATAGCCTGTGGAAATTAACTTGAAGGCAAACATTTTTCAGACTTTCACAATAAGACATCCAGATCCTAAAATTCTATAGGAGAGAAATTATTTCGTTTATATTTCCCATTTCAGTTTTGCAATTACAGGCTGATCTAATATTATCACTGCTTAATATAATATTGTGTACTAATATTTACTATGTATCAATATAATATTATGTTACTACTGTAGCATGTAAATGTCTATATGTAAACAGGTAATTTCATTTATTTTATAAGAATTTAATCAGTAGGGAAAGAATTTACAAAAATCTGTCAAAGAATCACAGAATGGTGTGGGTTGGAAGGAACCTCAAAGACCATCTAGTTCCAACCCTCCTGCCATGGGCAGGGACACCTTCCACCAGACCAGGGTGCTCCCAGCCCCGTCCAACCTGGCCTTGAACCCTTCCAGGGAACACTGCCAGTGTTTGACAAAAAGCTCATCTGTAACTGAGACCATATACATTTGTGAATTCCAAGTTACTAAACCTTCAACAGAGAAGTATCTTAAACATTTTGATCTTGCAACAATGTAAACAAGAAATTAAAGTGTCAAATTCAGAGTATCACAGTGCATTTTCCCTGTTCAGTTACCCTGACATTCTACAAAGACTAAATAAATCTGAAAATGCAGTCAGAAGATCACTTAAGTGGACACATTTTCACAAAAAGCCTTTCTTCTGTTGGGAGGGTTAGGTTCTGTAACGATCTCTGTATGCTTGTTTTGGAAAATTATCAACTTCAGGTTCTTCCCATGTATGTAAGAGCATTCATATAAGCTAAGGCCACTGGAATTCTTGCTAAACTGTATTTCTTATTCCTTAGGATCTTTACATTACAAATGCTAATAAAGTAGAAGTAAAAAATGCAACCCAATTTCACAACTACATTTGAGTTCCAGAGCTCACTTCTTTTGTATTTTATATACCACCAATCAAAATAATTTAGCAACAAACAGAATTAGAGCTGAAATGTATTTTGGAGTCAGCCTGGCAAGTATGGAAAGGGTGAAAACAAGAAAATTCCTCTTCACCTACCACAAGAAAGTTTTTTCCATGCATAGTTCTGAAATCACTATTTCTAACCAATAAAAACCCCTGACAACACAATTGTTTCTGTAAAACTCTACTTGAAAAGTATAATCAAAAACTTTTCTTTCAAAGATTTTTCTCTATCCTGCTAGAAAAAAAAAATAAAAATCACCTGTAACAGGAATAACTGGCATACTTTGAAGTTGCTATTGCTTTTATTTCACAGACCATCACCTGTCAATGTAAACTTATCAGCTAATCATGCCAAGAGAGCACTGCACCAGCAGGTATATTTACCTATTTTGATTTCAACTGTCAGGGCCAAAAAAATAAAAGAATGAAAATGCAGCAAATATTGTTAAATGCACAAACATCTAGAAATGTTTGCTGCCTGACTCAGCAGCATAAACAATAACAGAGCTAGTCATAAAATCCTGAGATTCTGACGTATCTGCTCCACAGACATTTCAGTAATGTTCTTTTGCTGTAAATTTGATGGAACTGATGTGGAGGAATGAACAGACGCCCCAGTGAGAACATCTGTAGTTCAGTGCTTAATGTGTAACATACTGCTTGTATATTAGGGCTAAAGTAAATTTAACTGTATCACTGATGTTTCCTCACACAGACTACAAATAATAGAACTGAAATCCTACATGTATTCTCTGTTTCAAAATGAGGATGAACAGAGTTGTTAATGAGTTACAGCAGTCATGCAATAACTAAACCCAAACATTAAACACTAAAAGAATTTCTAAGTTAAAAAGCAATCAGCACCACTGTTGTTTTTACCCTGTGAAAAGATAACAGATTCACTCCAGTTTATATAGTATTACTTGTAGATTCCATCTGAAAGACCAACCTTGGATTCTCTAAAAATCTGAATTATTCTTGTCTGAGGCACTTACAGATGAAAAGACACATTCCAGTGGTAACCTACAAAAAGTGAAATGACAGGGAAGTTTCCTTCAATAAATACAAAACATTGTCAGGGTTCATACAGATGGTTTTATTAAAGCACAATTCAGTGGCATGCAAAAACATGGCGTAGTTGGCTTTATTAGTCAGACCACTGAGCTAAGATTCTTTTTCTGTCTACACTGGATGAAGTGATAATTTGGTAAGAAGTTTTAGAAACAGAAAAAAGCAGGTTAGCTAGAAGCCAAGGAACTTAAAACACATTTGGAATTACAGCACCCCCACAACTTTACAGACAGGATGCATTCAAGTGTACCACTAGCGTACAAGTACTCACATTCTGTGTAGGTTTTTCCTGTGTTTTGTAGTAAAAGTTTAAGAGTAAAAACCTAAGAATACAAAATTCCTTGGAATCAGAAACAGGAAGGTTTTTTATTTCCCTCCCACCCAAAGCAGAAACTGTCATATAGTTTTTTGCTTACTTTTGGCAAGGGTTTGTACCTGTAAAATTCTTAAAAAACCTCATGTGTCTGCTAAGCGTAAGAGAACAGCCCTACTATTAATAACCTTTAAATAAATATTTTTAATACAAAACATTAAGCAAATTACTTTTTAAATTCAGAATTCTGTCCATAACATCAGAACGGCACATGTATAAATATTATAATTTAACATACTGTCAAATTAGCAATCTATTAAAACGGTTTACACAAACCAACCCTTTCATTTATGATAACTAATTCAGCATGACAAAGCAACCTACACTGTAAAGCCACATGTATTAGTGCATATGTCTCATGGAGACAAGTTTATGTATAGATGAGCTGACTATGCAGTAAGCTATAATTGTACCTTGATAACTTCAAGTACACTGTTATAGAGCACTCATGATCTTTCAGCATGGGCACTCACAGCCTCTGGAGGAGTACACTAGCTAGCACAGAGTGGCACAAGCACACTAGAAAGCAAGCCATGGATGTTCCCACCTTCTCTCAAAAATGAATCCTGGTGGATTCAGCTGCAGCAGTTTGAGACATTACCACTCAGCTGCCAATACTGAACCTTCTGTGTTCACAATCCACAACGCTATCTCCAAAGTAACAATCATTGGGATTTTATTCATCTATTTTCACTGGGTTGCCTGAGTTACCTGAAGATACAGCAGCCATTGTAGAAAGGTTGTAAGTGGGACAGGTAGAAAACTTATCTTAGACCGCTGCTAATATATTCTGTAAGAGCTTTGACTAAAGCTTGTTGTGGCCTACAGTGAACTCTGTGCTACAGTATGCTCTAAAGATCCAGTGACAGAAGTGAATCTCCAGACAGATTACTTTGCTAACCAAGCTGAACAGCAGGTCATTAAAGATGGCTATTCCAGTTTGAATGGTTTTTTCCAACTTTCAAAGATACCAACTCGGAACATAAGGCAACAATCATTCTAAAGCACAGTACACAAGCATCTAAACAACCTTACTTATAAACAATACATTAAGGTGTGTTTTTATTACCCCATTATTTTATTCAAGTAGACAAAGAATAATTAAAGTGTTTATGACAAGACACGTTCATTTTACTTGCTCCCCCCTTTTAACTTTTCCTAGCTCGAGTTTAACAAAGTTTCAATCAAACAATCAGCAAGCCACCAAGTTAAGAAAACCATCAAACAGATCTTCAAATACCTATGGAACAATCTGCGAGATGCTGAAGTTCTATTACAAATGAATCCTGGTATCACTAGACACAGAAAGTGACAAACCCAGCTCTGTCAGCTGTAGGTATGCAACTGCTCCTTTGCAGGGCTAGATGTACTACAGGGAAGGGCAAGCACACAGCATATTAGTGACAAGGAAATCACTGTGATTAAGATTCAAAACTTAACTTCCACTACAAAAGAAGGGGACAGGAATATTTCCACGTCTTCACATCCAGTTAGTCAACGCAATACTCCTTGAAGGCTTGTACTGCCAGGGATGTTTGGATGTCCTCTCTATTCAAACGTTTCACAACAGCTGGGAATACAAGTTAGAAAGGTCCACAAGGAGATGCTCTTTATTTCTTAATTAAAGCTTTGAAATCTTCTCCACTACTCTTCAACCCCCTGTCCCTGCTTGTCAGCATTTCCATGTGATTTTCATGAGAAAAGAAAATGTGGACTAAATCTTAGCAAGACCATTAAATATTCTCAAAATAAGTCTCGTGTAGAGGCCGAGACCCTCGTGCTCCCTGCCCTTTATTCCAGATTTCTGCCAAATATGTTTTAAAATGGCAAAGTGAAGGTCTAGTTCAATGTTTACTATTGATCACTTTTGGCTACTTATTTCTTATGAAAACAGACAGACTACAAGAGCCATTGGACACTTCATCTCTTCGCATGTGTAGGACCACCTGCACACTTCATGAGCTGTCTGTTTTCCAGTGACCAATGCTCAACTTTCCCCAAAAAGCAGGTGAAACTTGGCATTACTCGGAAGTAAATATGTAACAGGTAACTTTTTGTGGCATTGAGAACCACAGTTTGATTGTCAGGATTGCAAAAGTTTAAAAATCGAGATGGGATGTAAGGTAATGCCTACTAAATTCATGACTTGAGACCTCAGTAGCAAAGCACATCAATTTCAGCCATTTCACTTAGATGTAGATTTTTAAACAGAGATGAATTGCCTATGCTAACTGTGAAAGTCTCAGCACTAACTATAATTTTGCAACTATGTTCACTTCCCTCAAACTACACAGTCAGTTTTTTAAACATCACTCTAGATTAATAGTACCAGTCTACAATCATTTAGAAATAAGTTACCAAGATAATTATATTCGGAAACTACAGATGAAGCTTAGCTGCACTACACAAGGCCATAATAAAGTAGAAGATATCAAAACCAGTGAAGTAGTAGCTGTACCATCAACATACCTTTGTACTTGTTCACATGATTATGCAACAGTGAAAGTGAACAACCATTTTAAAAAGTAACACCTGGAGAACCTTTGCACTTTCCTCCTCTAAATTTAGGTGCTAATAGGACAAAAGAAATTAAATGCAATCTACTACTTGCTCAGTTGGCTGACTTAGCAAAGGGCTAGAAACCATGAAGTGAAACTGAGTGAATCCTGGAATTTTATTACATGCAGCACCTAGGAAAGAAAGAAAAAAAAAAGTCTAATTTGCTACATTTAGGATTAGTGTCTTTGTCATTGTACTTTATCATCTAAAGACCCAGTTACTAATTCTACTACAGTGGTGTAATTATTCTTTTATAATCTGTTTAACCCAAGATATCTTGAAAGTATTTAATTTTTAAGTAAAATACAGTGCTACTCACTGCTGTAGTGCAATTAATGCCCTTATAATTCAATTCAAAACAGTAACGTAAGTTAGGAAAATCTCTCTCTCTCTTTTTCAATCCTGATTAACTTAATGAGTTCCTCCAACACTAATCTCTTAAACACAGAACTATGGGAAATAAGAGATCAAAGAACACCAATAAGCAGTCTAACTAAATAAGCCATGTTGATTAGCAAATTGTATTTCCTACTGATCTAAGAGTTCGCTAATGAGATGCCTGGCACAGTGACTGATCTTGGATTGCTTTGAACCTATGCTTTAACATTCACATTCTCCCCTGCCTGATGCCATATCTAGGGGAGACGTAAGCATTCTTTTTTAAAACCTTCAAATTAATCACACACAGTCCAGGAAAACACATGAAGGCTGTAAATATTTTTGTGACTAAGACTTGCATAAATTTTGTAAAAGTCCAAGACATCAAAACGCAGAGGAAAAATTAAAATATCTCAAGTCCATGCTAGGCCACAGCTGCCTTATTAACCGGCATTTGATATTATGAATGGCCAGTATTGATGCAGTGTTCAAAGAATATAGAGTTTTGCTTTAAAATCCACCTTTGGTTTTGTACTTCTGTGACCCAGTTAGGGGCAACAAGCTTTGTCTGTTAAGCAAAATACATACCATAGCTTCCAGTTGTATTGGCACATATAACAGCACCAAAGAACTTTGGAGCATACTTCTGGATTCTGGAAATAACTTTCTGACAGGCTACTGTTGGGTCTGTTCCCGTCCTCATATACTCCACAGCTTGGTAACTAGAAAACAACAAATCCCACACCCAGACAGTTAGGATACTCAGGTTATATATTTTAAAATACCATTGAAAGGCCTTCGTTTCTTTGAATAATGGAATCACATGATAAATAATTTTTATCCAAACTTCATATTGGTAATTATTGCTCAAGTTTTACATGAAAAGTAATTAGAAACAGGGCTAAAAGGGACTGCAAGATGTCATCTATGACATCTATCATTCTAAGGCAGGACCAAGCCTGGACTAACTCTCTGATCATTTGCAGTAGAAGAGGATAAGCAATGGATCAGTTAAAGAACTGCAAAGAACCAGTTAAAGAGCTAGTGGCTTTTATTTTTCATTGCATGATTAAGTTTGGCATTAAAAGGTATTACTAGTTTTCCAAAAGGCCAATGTCAAGACCAGTTTTTGAAGAAAACTGACCTCCAGTATTATATTACTGATAAATTGATTTCAGTAAGCATAAAAAAACTTTTCAAAAAAGCCTTGTTTCTGAAAACCTCAAAAATGACACATTTTCTTTATGTCATGAATATGAAGGTACAATGTTTTGATCAAGACTTTGAGCCACCTTCAAATTCTTTGCAAGCTCATTTTAAAAAAAAAAAACATTCTTGCTCTAAATGAAAGAATAATCAAAATGAACTGCCTCTGTATCTACAGTATCATTAGACAAATGGCTATGTGGGCATTGCTTGAGATCAATCACTTGCGTTTCCAAAATGTCCTCAGAGGCAAAAGTTACTTTTGTTGTTGTTTTCTTTCAGAACCAGAAGATTAAAAGACAGCACATAATATAACTTACAAGCAAACAGCACTATATTTTGTTTTGATGAAAGATGCATATACCAAGACCAACTATTGTTATATTAAGATTCATCTACACATAGCATTAACTATAGATGTTATCAAAGTACCACAGAAGCGAACTTTCCTTGCATTTTGAGACTCCCTATTACCTTTGATTTATTCTAACAATCAAGTAGGTTCAAGTTATCTAAAGATAACTATCTGAATATAAAGCTATATTTCACAGGGGTCTCTTCACTTATTAAAAAACTCAGTAAAATGTTACTAACTCAAAGAAGGAAGACAGAAAATATTAGCAACTTTGCCCTTTATTTAATACTTCCTTCACTTCTGGCAGGTCAATTCTATTCTCTGTTTTCATGTGGAAATATCTAAATAACATGGAATTAGGGAAGATCTGTATCTAAAAGGAACCTGTGATTAACCATCTAGTCTGAGTTGTTTTCTAAAACCCATTGATGCCAACACAGTGTTTTAAGCATTACAGCCAAATCCTTCAGGATGCTAAACTGTAATGTAAGCTTTTATTGATTAACCTCATAGTGGAGCTCAACTCACTACTACCGTTGGTATCTGATATTTCAGGGTAATTAATGAAGTTGTCAATTGCCTTGTATTTGAAGACTGGCTCTGAACAGCTTGAAACTCATTGAGGACATCTGTAAATACTCAACAGCTAGTAGGCATTTGTAACTGCCAGAGTTTCAAAAAAAGCACCCGAGTAATATGAAGGCCACTGCTACATATTCCTCCAAGCACCAGCGCCCATTATGTTCAGCATGGACTTCCATAACTCATTCCTGCTGAGACCGACCCACAAGAACGACTGTCAAGACTCAGCGATGAAAACAGCCATATTTTACACAGGTTATTCAACCATGACAACAGCACCAAAACACCTCTTCCAGTTTCCAATTTGATGGAATTACATAGGACTGTTACAGTGACACCTCCCTACCCTCCTGAGTCATCTGAGACTCACCCCTCATCCCTTCTACAATTTCTAATGCTTATTTCCCACACAACAAAACACTTTGGAGGAGAAAGCTAATCAGTTCTGTTAAAAAGCATGCAGGTTGGGAATATACTCATTACCTGCTGCCTGTTTGCTCACAGCTTGACAGTATTAAGGGATTTGTCATCAAGATATTTAACAAGTCACTTCTTTTAACACAGATCATAAGGATGACTTGATTCTGCTACTGTTCTTTCCTCTTCTATTTCTTCCTTTACTCCCACTTCAGCAGCCATTAAGTCATAGTGTCTTTTTAATCAATTACTCTATTTGCTGAATTCGCATTTTGCCAGGGAAAGCTAGCAAAGTGTGCCCTAAGGACAAACCTGGGTAAGAAGCGCATCATGATATCACCATCCCCAGTGGCTGCAGCTCCTCCAGCTGTACTGTCCGCATAGGATCCTGCTCCAGCTATTGGAGAATCTCCTACACGACTGTAGTGAACAATGAAAAAAAAAAAAAAAAAAAACCAACAACAACAAAAACAACAACAACAACAAAAAAAAAAAACAACAAAAAACAAAAAATTGAAACTACAGAAAAACTATAATTTACTAAGTCTAGTGGGATTGCATTAATGGAATAGCTCTTGGCCTGATATTGGCAAGTCCTTATGACTTGGGCACACTTTTAACTGTCAACTTTACTGCCTCCAGCTGGGTTAATGTTAAACCCACAGGAGAACTGAACAGGTAAAGAGGTCACCCCACTGCAGTCAGAAGTCTGCTTTTGAAACTACAGATAAAAGCGATCCGTGATAACCCGACTGACCTAAGGCTTAATCCACCTCCAATGCACAACTGTTTGTTACTATACTGACTACAGTTAGGGCAGTAAGGTTTAGCCAGTGGGAAACAGTAAGCAGCTGGAGACATCAGTATGTTCAATAACTTGTTGCTAAATCCAGAAGCTGTCTGACTTGGTTGACAGACAAGATTCCTAACTGGGTAGAAAAAAAATCTCAAAGACAAAATACAAGCCTGGGGCTCTGATGCTATGTATACTGCTTTGGAGACTGTGCACCTCTCTGGAATGCTCATTTGTCTCCGGTGCCTTGCCTTACAAGTTGCCTCACAACTGTGCCAGTTGTTTGTGTCTCTGTATGGCGAATTAAGCCAGCCAAAAACCATGAACTCCATCAAACACACACAAATTATTCTGCAACTGAATCAGTTTCTCAGTATTAGGATTTACAGCAGAAATCAGCCAGGCCATTTTGTGATCATCACAATCTAAAACACATAACCTTTAGATAAGTTTACCATAGAAAATGAGATAGGGAGAAAAGCTTTTTTGTAAAACCAGATATACTAACCCTGGAATTTTGTGGGCTGCCCCATTAGTAGATGTGCCAGAAGCAGTGGTTCCGCTCTCACCAATTACAACCATACCTAAAATTTTCAATAGGGATGAAACATATTTAGAAACACTCCTAACAAATTTGTTAAACTGGCACTATGGTTATCAAACAGAACCATGATACACAGACTATTCAAATTACTGTTATCCCGAAACAACAGAAAAGTCATACTCTTAAAAGAAAACAAGTTCTTTGTAAAACACATTTGGAAAATTTTTGGGTGTATTATAAAAGCTCAGATTGGAACCTAGAGCAATGAGTGCCATACCGTTCAGAGCTGCATGCTCCTGCTGCCCATGCAGCCACTGTATCCTGATGTACACCTACATTAATCTGTAGACAAGTACCTGGTGTCATCACATCCTGCACCAGTACTATCAGAACAACAAAGTCTGGACGTTATAAGCGGTGTTCAAGGAAGATTACAAAAAAGTCAGAAGGACAAGCTTAAATTTGGCAGAAGGTGAAATACTGCCTACCAATGTTACAAGAATTACATGACAGGCAATCAAATGTGTGGACGAGCCTACCAGTTGCTACTTTTGTGCTGATACGGAAGCCACTGCCTCATCAGAGAAGCTTCAATTGGCACTTAGAACAGGATTTGGAATCACCTGCTTCTTCACAAAGCAAGACTTCATCTCTTTAAGAGACGGCAAAAATTGCTGCAGGTATCAAATTCCAGTACAAACTGAGAGCCAAGAAGCAGAATTAAAATTCTGTGATTTCATTAAGCAGTACCTCCTTGATATAGAAATGTGTCCTGACCAGTAGAAGTTAAAAGCATAGAGGCACTGATTCTATGGCCACCATTAGCCTCTACAAAAAGACTGGTAGGGCATCAGTTCCTACCAAGTTCATAAATGCATTCTGAATGAAGACTCTCCTCAAAAAGTGTTAGTCAAGGAGACATTTCATATACAAAGCAAACAATGGGGTGGGAGAACTTGAAGTACAAATATAAGCACCATCATATACTACAAAACATCTTAGGACTACTTAATGATGTATCAATTCCTGAATTGCATTTAGCAAATCCCCCTCTCATCCTGACACTCCACAATTTCTGAGTTTTCTAGAACATACTGAATACTCTATATCCCAGTAAAGAAAGCTACCTACCAACTTAAGAGTTTGGTAGGTTGCCTGACTTCTGTAGAACATTAATTGGTTATTATTAGCGTGGACTGGAAGCAAAGAAGAAAGATGCACTCTTGAAACAACCTGCTAATTCTTGGTATTGCAAATACTGTCAGGCAAAAAGTTCTGAATTGCTAAACTGAGAAAAATCTAGACTAAAACAAAAAGTGTAAGTTTCAAGAATACAAAGCTTTGAAAGACATGAATCTGTAACTGCTTCAGTCCTCTGTCTGATCTGCTCATTAATCAGCTTATAGGCTTAGCAATTAACAGTCCTCAATCAGTAAACTCTTAGAAGTCTTTGGGGACTACTACTGCTAACCTGTTTTAAGCACAGTAGTTTCTGTAGAAATTTGTGGATTTAGTTGAAAGCCAGAATAGAAGAAAAAATAAATAAGCTTGATTTTATAAGCTTAAGGACTGTTTGACAAACAACACTTTTGGTTGGCAACAGGATTAACTGTTTACACCACTACAAGGCCTTTTAAATTGGTTTGGCAGCTACAGGGGAGACTTGACCTAAGTTAACCATAATCAAGATAATTATTTTTAGCCTTGATCAGTTTTCTAAGCATCCGTATCTGCCCAAGCAATTATGCCAAGATTTCTGACAGAAAAGCAGTAGGGCAATGAAATAGCTAAGGGTTAAAAATGAAGCAAGTGGCTGTGTAGCCAGTGCACTGGGGAAAAAAACAAAAAACCAAAAAAACCAACAACATAAAAAGCTCCTGCTTTTAGGCACTCCATCCTAACAAATAAATAACACAATCTTGAAACCACTATAGATAGGAAATAATGCCTACATGAAATACTATTCTTTAAACTCAGTATGATTTAATCTGTAGGGGAATGAGGAAAAAAAAATAACATCAGAGTTACCAAAGGTTGTTACCAATAGTATCATGATTATGAACACTTCTTTGTGAGATGGTCTGTTCTTCTTTATAAGTTACTTTTTGAGGCCGTTTGTATGGTCCACAGGATTTTGAAGAGTCTGGTACCACATTCTGTAATTATTTTGTTATTTGCATGAATAACATTGTGCTTCATTACAGATATACTTCTAAATACTACAATCAATACCTATCATTTACTACATTTATATCAGATGCCCAATACTTAAAATGCACAACTGTACTGAATTTCCGCAAGTTGTTTTGCTTAAATAATAAAGACTGACTTCTAGTAATATACGGTAAAAAGTTTTTCCTACTAGAAAATTATGTTATTCAAATTAAAGAATCTCCTTTGCTCAACTGACTGGTCAAAAAAAGCAGCATTCCTCAGCAAAACAAAGAAAATTTTCAATCTGAAAAACCAACCAGATGAACTGAGCTTGTTTTACTAATGTCAAGTCAAGATATTACATCAAGTCAGTATCATAGTCAAGATAGTCTCCCAACTGAGAAACAGATTATGTATTGAATTAAAGTGGTTCAGTAATGCAGCATTTCATATCCAAGAAACAACGAAGACAGTGTATGAACATGTAGAAACCTGCAACACCAATCCCAAAATAAAAAAAAAGACAAAACTACCCTTACCACAATGGGCAAATTGAACACAAAACAGCTGCACTAACATGATGTGTTCACAGGTCTGCATAAAGCCACTCTAACGATTTAAGGACGTTAATTGCTACTGTAATATTTTTCTTTCAGAAATTTACATATACATCAACAAAGACATGCATTAGTTTGTTTGGTTTGAGAATTCCTGCCCAAATTTAGAGCTTAAAAAAATTTCCCCCACTAAACCACTACTGCAGTGATGTCAAAACCAGCAGGATCTAAGAAGTAAGAGCTAGACACACACTTTTCCCGAGTCTACCAAATGCTTGGTAATTCCAAATTTGTTCTGTTTAATAAGAGAAACTTTTTTTTCTTCACATGTAAAGCACAACTTCAACAGAAGCTGGAACGAAGTGGCAATGCTGCATTACTGACTTTCTAAACCCCCACTTCACCACCACCACCACCACTGTACTGTACCTTCCAGTAGTTTGGCTGACAGCTTTGATTAAGCCACCTCGAATACATCGAAAGAGATTTTTGGGTAGTTAAATCTTCATATGGAAACCCCATTCTTACAGCAAACAGGGAGGCTTTAAAAGCAACAACAAAATTACTGATTTATTCATTTTTATACATTTTATGATAATGCATTCATGTAATGTTATCTAGAAATCAAGAAATTCTACATTCTTCACAAAGATGAAGAATATTTCTTCACAGAGCAGTATCAGCCATTATAGTGACACACAACTGCTGTAACTCTCCTTTCATGGGCAGTATAAAATCTCCTCAATTCACTATATGCTAACACATGTAAGTTTTACCATTGAAAGAGAAACAAATTCAACTGTGTTAATCACCTGGACACAAATAACCTGGAACAAGAGTGGTCTGGGCTGTGTGTGTCACAGAAAAATTTAAGTGATACAAGTAATACCGTATTTTTCTTAAAAAGCTAGTTTTCTATGAAACTTAAGTAACATAGTGGCACAACATTTGGCACTAAATCACTCATATTTGCAGAAATCAACCCACCAGCTTGCATCATATTACACTTCTTCCTTGCAGCTTTAAAAGTGACTGCTTCCTTGTTTTCAAAACTAATATAGCATGTGCTGAGAGAGCAAAAGAAATGCCAACACAAATAATGGAAGAATGCTGCACTTCTAAACATGGTTTTTATAGTTGAGGAAAGAGAAAAGAAAAAAGATTCAACTGTTCTCTCATTTTTTAGTTGTAGATACCTTTGATACTACCTAGTACCATATATTGTTGCTAGATTCAGATGCTTAAACAATTTATATTACCAATCCTTGATAATAATGCCACTGCTGTCACAGCTGAACAAGCTTCTCCGGTCCAAGAATTATGAAAAGCCTTCAATTATTTCTGTACAGCTTTTCTGTGTTTTTCTTAAAAACTGACACAATTAAAGTCTCTGCACTCAGAGGAAAAGACAACTGACAGCTTCAATTAAACGGATTCTTATTTTACCATCTCTAGAACCAACAGGCAGGAGTTTTGTGGTGGTTTTTCTTGTGTTTCTCAGGTAAAATTGTGCTTGTGTCTGTTTGTCAGTCATTTTTTTATGACTTTTGAAACCTTATTTCTTTTCTAGGAAGCAGAATTGGTAATTTTTACTCTCTGAATCTTTTACTTGGATTATTGGTCTAAGTATTGCTAGACAAAAAGGGAAAAGTTCAGGGACACTGTGATTATGAAACTTTCCTACCTGTTGGAGACAAACCTAAAAATTTCTTGGCGGATGCTAACCAAAATAATTAGTTTTTTACTCACTTGTAATCGTTCTGCACTGAATGTCTCTCACCAGACTCAGTTCTACATTGGCCTAGGTGGCCTTTATTGCTAGTTTTCTATGACTTGCCCCAAAGAAACTAGGTAACAAATGGAGAAAGCAGTTCTTTTAACAGTGCAAGAACTGATCAGTGTGGTTATCTGTATCTGTCCAACAAAAGCTACAGCAAGGGCAAGAAGCAGGCAATTAGAGGCTGGTCAGACTCACCTTGATCACAGAGGAGATGATGGAACAACTAACTGTGGAAACCATTTCCAAGCACATTAAGAACAAGAAGTTGATTGGGAGTAGTTAGCATGGCTTCACAAAAGGGAAGTCATGCTTCTTTAACCTGCTAACCATCTATGATGAAACAACTGGCTTGGTCAACGAGAGGAGAGCAGTAGATATTGTCTATCTTGACTTTCATAATGTTTTTGACAGCGTCTCCTGTAAGATCCTCAAAGAGAAGGTGATGAAGCATTGGCTGGATGAGCAGACAGTGATGTGGACTGAAAACTGGCTGAAAGGTTTCAGGATTCGCCTCAGAGGGCGATCAGTGGTATGAAGTCCAGTTGGAACCAGTAACTAGCAGTGTACCACTAGGGTCAATATAAGGTCAAGTAGCATCTTCATTAATATCTTCATTAATGATCTGGATGATGGGGCAGAATGTACATACCCCCAGCAAATTTTACAAATGATACAAAACTGGGAGGAGTGGCTGAAGCATCAGCAGGTTCTGCTGGCTTCCAGAGTGATCTCGACAGGCTGGAGAAATGGGCTGATAAGAACTTTGTGGAGTTCAACAGAGAAGTGCGAAGCCCTGCACCCAAGGAAGAACAACCCCATGCACCAGTACATGCTGGGACCACCCAGGGGGAAAGTAGCTTGGGAGGAGAAGACCTGGTTCTGGTGGGCAGCAAGCTGAATGTCAGTCAATGTGCCCTTGCAGCAAAGGGAGCTAACAGTGCAGGCTGAGCTCCACCCTTAGGAGATACATCAGCAGGTTAAAGGAGGTGATCTGTCCCCTCTGCTCAGCACTGGATAGGCCACACCTAATGTGTCCAGTTCTGGACTTCTCAGTACAAGAGAGACATGGACATACTCTTCATGCAAAGGGCCAGAAAGATGATTAAGGGACTGGAGCACCTCTCCTAACAGGAAAGGTTGAGAGAGCTGGGACTGTTCAGCCTGGAGAAGGCTCCAGGGGGATCTCACCATGCGTATAAATACCTGGCGAACGTAAAGAGGACAGAGCCAGGCCCTTTTCGGTGGTGCCCAGTGACAGGACAAGAGGCAACAGGCATAAACATAAACACAAGAGGTTCTCTCTGAACAGCAGAAAGCAATTTTTCACTATGAGGGCGACCAACTTGCCCAGATGTTGTGCAGTTTCCTTCCTTAGAGATCTTAAAAAGCCATCTGGGCATGATCCTGGGCAACCAGCTCTAGGTGGCCCTGCTTAAGCAGGGAGGGGTTGAACCAGAAGACCTCAAGTCTCTGCCAACTTCAATCATTCTGTGATTCTGTAATATATGCTCTTAAGTTCTCTGTATACCAAAATCTTTAAAATACCTGATTTTTTTTTTTTTTTTTGAGTCCCAGTAAACAGAACTGTGAAGACTATTAGACTATTCAAGTGTCATGGCACTCTAACAGATTCCATCAGTGTTTTTAACACTAAAACCAAAAATTTTGTGATACTTTCATTAAAACTTTACTGTCAGGAACAATGTATTGGTCACAAATTTAAAAGTGATCAACTAAACACCTGGAATATAGTGTTCAGTTTTAGTCCTCACTATACAAGAGAGACATGGACAGGCTGGAGAGTGTTCAGAGGAGGGCCACAAAGATGATCAAGAATCTAGGAAGCCTGCCATGTAAGGAAACGCTGAGAGAATTGGGTTTGTTCAGCCTTGAGAAGAGAAGGCATAGGGGATACCTCAGCACCATGTTCTGGTATTTAAAAGGTGGCTACAAAGAAGATGGAAACTCCTTTTTTACAAGAAGTCACATGGAAAAGATGAGTGCTAAGGGGTACAAGTTACTCCTGGGGAGATTCCAATTGGACGCGAGTAAAATTTCTCAAAGTGAGAACAAACAGCCACTGGAATAAGCTCCCCAGGGAAACGGTGGATTCCAAACATCGGACAGTTAAGATTCAGCTGGACAGGGTGCTGGGTCATCTTTTCTAGACCATGCTTTTGCCAGAAAGGTTGGACCAGATGATCCTTGAGGTTCCTTCCAACCTGTTATTCTATGATTCTATAAAACAAAATTAATGCGTGCCACAGCTTGCCTCCTCCTCTCTAGTGTCAACCACACACAGAAATTAAATTTTAGCAGACATTCAGACTTTCTTGGATTATATCACTAAATATGTTAAAAGTGCAGTTTAGTTATTGGGAAAAAATAATGAATAACTTCAGCTATTTTACATCTTGACTGAAAAAGGCCTACAGACATTACATATTTTTATATGGAAAGGTTTGACTATTCCAGCTAGATCTGAAAATGTAAAAATGTGAAAATGTGAATATTTTTATTTAGAAAAGAAACTGTTGGTTCTCTCACATGCTGATTTAAAGTTTCAAGTGTATTCTTCTGAAGCTCTATTTTCTCTTTACCAATCTTCACCTGGTAAAGACAACTATACTTGTTTCCTTTATCCAAATTCCTATTTCCACAGAAAATACATTCCTCCACAAGATTCCTTCCCAATTTCTCCGCTGCTTTGATTCATTCACTAACATGTATCACCATCTCCAATTTTTACTCAGATAAATCTTCAACCTTCCTGTCTTTCTTTTGCAACTACTGCTAGATAGTTTCTTCTGAGGAAGTTCTCACTGACAGCGAGGACTCGGCAGAACAGCCTTGTCCATGTGACTCCCATTATGCAGAGTGATCTTCTTAAGCTGGAAAATATATTTTAAATCAGCACTTCAATTCTTCTGTTTCTTATCTTTCTTATCTCTTCTGCTCATTCTACTGATTAAAAGTTAAAAATATTTTGATTACCAATAATAGGGAAATGAGTATTATGAGCATTTCTTCTTCCTCTATTTAACACTTGACCAATTTCTTTTTCAGCATCACCTGTGAAATCTCTTACCAAATACACCTGTAACCTGATCATGGACAACTGCTCAAATGAAATAGAATCTGCAAATCTGCCTCTCTCTTTTCAAACCTTCTGTCAAACACTGTCCTCACCTCCCCCTCTACTTCCTTACTTTATCAAAAAACTGTTCTTACACTTATTTCCCTATCATTCTGTACACATTAATTCCTTCAAGAATCTTTTATCTTTTCTTATCAGTTTCAAAGCACTTGACTTGGCCTTAATGCTCAGATGTCAATTTCCACACTTATCTCCACACTTCTTTCCGATCAGGCACATACATTTTAAAAGTCCTTAACTGTGAGCCAAGTAACCTTCCACTCAGTACTCGTATACTGCCCTGGAACGTACATCTGTGTTGAAACTAGTATTACTCTAACAGCAGCAGCTCATATTTTAAAAGCCTTAACTATTCCTCCAGTTTACTATCGCTCTTTTGTTGTGCCTAGGAGTACAGCTCCTAATGTAATTTTTTACATTCAAGTTCTATTATTTTTAAACTATGAAATATTGTAATCATGTTCAATATATACTGAAACAGTAAAATACAAGTGTAATATCTAGTAATGCTGTCATTCATTAGAAAAAGTTACTCCATGGTTTTAATTAAATGTTTATGTCTAACAGCTTCTGTAGTGTCTCATATCAAACAATCTCTGATATCTTTGATAGCTGTGATATTAGTGAAGCCTTTGGATTACAAGTTAATATTTGCAGTTAAATTGGTGTAAATACAATACATTTTTTTTTCATGTCCAAATAATGGACTAAAACTTAATTCATACACATGTAGTAAGACAGTAAACACTTCTGAATTATTTGACTAGATTAATTTGATTGTTGGGGAATCCCTCCACCTATATTACCAAGATTAACATATGGTAATTTTAACAGGAAGTGTTTTAAGAAGAGGGTATGACTTGGAAACAGTTAAAGGAATAATTACCTGACTCTCCCACTAATAATGTATGTTTAGTGTATTCCATGACCTTTCGTGCTACACCAATTGCATTCTTTACATGCCTGAGATCTGCAACTGCCCCAACTTCCATAGTGTTGCTGGAAACAATAAATATTTGAAAGTTATTAAAAATATAAGAATAATTGTACATTTTTTTATTAGACAAAATCTGTTCTCATGTAAATTAGAAAGCTTGCTCCTCAAACATATTGCTTTAATTGTTCTATGCCATAGACAGATGGCATCACACCAGTAGGGAAAAACTTCATATAGGCATCATTTCCTTTCACAGGCAGGGGGATGTTGCTCAAGTAACAGTAACTACATACCCAGTAGTATTTTCAGTAAAGTAACTATTTTGTTGCATAAACTCGTAACATGAACAACACACTTGCAATAACTTTTAAATCAGGACACCTTTAAATGGTAAATAAAGTATAGAAGACAATTGCTCCAGAAGCAAGATATTTGTGTAATGAATGTAAAGGGAAAGCTTACAATGCTACAAGCCATCTGCTTTGCAAGTGCTATATCTAGAGCTGGACTACTGTGCTACATGTAAGATTCAGTAACAAACATACTTAGCTACCCTTCCAGCAATTAGAGAAGTATTTTTCCTAGTTCCAAAAGTTAGCATATAACTTGTCCCACAGTAAGCCCTAAACAAGATCTCTGTAACAACCCTTACATTGAAGTGTGCTAAAAATTAGAGGGATTGTTTTTTTCTCCATGTAGTTTTCTTACCCATTCATAATCATTGCGTCCAGCGTTGTTTCTCCACTTTCATCTGGGCTTCCTCCATATCCCACACTCCCATCACACTGGTCAATCTCACACTGACCACAGCCTTTCTCAACTGCATCCAGCTCAGAACCTCCCAATTGTAACACTCTCCAAGCTGTAATCAACACAAATAATTAAATGTCACCGGTGAAAGTAGTCTCCACTACTGCTTTACATGATGTTTTAAAGATGGACAAGATGAAAATGCATTATATAAGTGGTTTGAAAAACCCTGTAACTTATAGGCGAAATAAAGTCAAAATATAAATATATTCAAAGGAATGCAAAGCATTACTTTTCTAAATACTGTTTTTCTTGCATGTCTGATTAGTGTTTCTGAAAAATTAAGCTTTTTTTCTGATTGGGAAGGTATTCTTTACTATCATCATAACTTTACATATAAACCTCCTATGCCCAGAACCAACCACTGCTCTATCACTATTTAAAGCCTTCTGGGGTATGGGAGAGAGGGAAGCAAAACTTTTTTCTCAAAATATCCTGCAAGTTATAACAAATGGAACTCAAAAGCTTCATATGAGAATACTAAGTGTCCAGCTGCAGAACAAACAGATCTAAAACATAGAATGATTTAAAAGATCTAAACCTAGATCAGCAACTTCATAAGAACAATAAGAAAGTGGTAATGATATACAAGAAACTACAGTCTCCACTTTCTCCAGTTCCAACCCTTAGTCTTCCATTCTTTAGGATCTAGCTCACAGTACAGTTTCGTAAGACATTACAAATGTGCCAAACTACTTGAATAAACTGGGCCTGAAGGCTTTTTGCACATATGACATTTCACAAGGTTGGGCCTCAGGCAATATTTTCCAAGATGGCTGAGCTTGCTGCCAGTGACGGTGTCAGTCCTGCTTCCTCCTCCTTGTGCTGGCTCTGGTGCTCCATCGCCAGCCAGACCCAGCACAGGGGAGGCACCAGAAGCATACAGCCCAGCTCCTTTTGGCAGAACTATTACACTGTCTCAACCATCTCAAGAAATCTCATCTTCGTCAAATGCTGCAGGCAGCTGGATGAAACTGCCTGCACCAAGGAAAAAGTGAAACTTAATCCATAGCATCCAAGTCTACATACGCTTGTCTATTATAAACTTCAGTGTAAACTGCTCCCATTTCCATTGCCTTTACTGCTGTGAGTAGCATTAACACGAGCTTTCAAAGCTGCGAAACAAGGGCCTTCTAGTTTTCATGACTGCATTTCACTTCTGACCTATACAAGGCTTTATAGGTAACTCATGACACTAGCAAAGCTTTCCTAATAAGGGGTTATTTACAACCCCACTATGTTAATACAGCCTATGAGCCTTTTAAAATCAGTATCCACAACTAATTTATGTTGCCATGGGACAAACCTGCTTTGTCAATAAGGCATCACTACACAACACAGAGCTCCAAAAATACAGTATTCAGATCTACATCTTTTCAGGGACAAGAATGAATTTTGGAAGGACACCATTAAAAACAAGTCACCGCTGCCTGCAGCCACAAGAGTTTAAACCACATTAGTGGCAAAAGGCTGTTTTTAATCTAGCTTTCCCACAGCTCCTAACTCCTCACCAGCTCTGCCTGACCCCCCGCAGGCCCCACGCGCGACCGAGCCCCCCCCCGCCCCGCCGCAGGCCCTGTCCGAGCAGGCAGCGGCACCGCACGCCGCGTCCCCGCCGGCCCCTTCTTCTTGCCACGCATCAGCGCGCCCACGCCGAAGTGACTCGTTTTTAAGCCAGCAGCCAGAGCCCCCCCCCAGCCGGCCCCTCAGCAGGGCGGGCGCTCGGCACTGCCCCGTCCCCGCCGCCGGGACACCTGTCTCTGCAGCCTTCCTAAACGCCCAGGTGTTGATGGCCACGGGCAGGGCGGCGGCTGAGGCGGCGCCCGCCACCTGCAACACGACGAGCAAGAGAAGCGCCACCATCCTCCTCCTCCTCCGCCGACCCCCCCGCCCCGCCGCCATGGCCGCGCGGCCCGGCCCCCCCCACAGCCCCACCACGAACTGGGCGGCTACGCCAGCGCATGCGCACACGACCCAACGGCCGCGGGCGGGGCGCACTGCCTGAGCCGGGCAGGCCCGGCCCGGCGGCGTGGGGCCGGCGGCGTGGGCCAAAGGCAGGTAAAGCGATAAAGCGTGCTCAAAAGTCGGCCCCACGTATGCTCGTGAGGTTCGCACGCAGCATCTTTACACGCTGCCTCGTTGCCACGCCTGGTTTTTGTCAAAAGTCCCTTAATGGCACAGAGGCGTCCTGGCGAAGGGTCTGTTTTGGGATCTGTAGCAAGTAGCTTACAGAAGACTTTGTAAAAGGCCTTGCTTTGCAGAAATCATGGAACATATAGCAGGTGATTTCTTAATCCTGCCCCTGCAGTTCAAGCTTTTCATTATAAACCATTAGTAATAGTTTAATGTCATTTGACATGTTGCAGTAGCAGTCTGTTTCTAGGCCTGTAGGCTCACCTGCTGTCAGCATAGCGCACCAGTTCGTGCTCCGTGTTGGTTATGTTCAGGGAGTCACTGATCATGAAGCAGCTATTATTTCTGAACAACATAAAAAAAAGGTGGATTCTGCTTGTACCAGAGGAAGTAGATATGAAATACACTTTTTTTTTTTTTTTTCCAGTTCATTCCCATTATTCCTTTTCAAGATATGATGGGCCAAACTCAATTGCACTTTACCAGCAACGTCACTGGTCTTGTATTTGTGGTAAGAAGAGGTACTTGGACCCCATCTGACAAGCTTAAGCTTGTAGGCATGCATAAATTGTAAGTGTAACCAAGCTACTTTAAAAAACCTGAAGCAATATTATTTTTATCATAGCGAAACAATCCACAGACTTTGGAATTAAATGATTATCACAAAATAAAAGTATTATCCTTTATTACAGAAGTCACAAAGTAATAAAATACAGTACTGGGTTTGACATTAGTAATAGCATGGCCTTGCTGTCAGCCGGTTCCCAAAAGCAAAACTACAAGTAGTCTAGAGAAACCTTTACTCAGGTAAATACTGTTAGCGGATTTATTTCTGGTATTAGTGTTCTCCGTCACGTATTTCTGTGTAAAGCTGTTAGAGAGGGGAAAAGGGCCAAAATACAGATCTGTATGTTAGCTGAAGGAAAACAGGAAAATATTTTCAGGAAAGCAATTTAGTAAGAAGTGAAAAGGAAAATATTGTCAAACATTTTCCTAAAATTGATACATTAATTATATTTTTCAAATACTGTTTTCTTTGAGCCAGATAAAATGGACCATTATGAAAGAAAAACACTTTGATATGAGTGTCATTCAAATAAAAGTATTGACTGTAATGGTTGCATCTGCAGGCTCAGTCTGCACAGCTGTGGAGAGAATATTTTGTACGACTTGAAACAGCATAACGTTATGCTTTGAGGTCCACGTGGAAACTCAGTAGGTTTAATTTCTGTGGTGTGCTTTCTAACCGGCATTCAAATGTGAATGAATTCCTGCTGGAAATAAATGCAATAATGAATCTATGCTTTACTGTATACAATGTTATTTAATATCACATATATTTATGGTAAGTGTGAAGAAACTCACGAACACTCATATACAGTGTGTAAAAGCAACAGCGAGGTTGATAAAACTCTGGTTTTATGTGCTGAAAGCTGAGGAGAATTTGAGCAGTATCTGTCCAAGACAACTCTGCAAGTCAGTTCTGCTACATCCATCTGGGCTCTTGATTTGCCTTCTGTCTCTGATATAAGGTATTCTAAAATTAATCTCTGATTTTAAAACTTGTTTGTGTTTTCATAAAAATTAGCTGTTGTTTTAGGTCAGTTCTTCCTACATCAGCAGTGCAAATCCACCTTAATCTCCTTGTCCCCCAGTATTTATTTTGGAGACCAAGGGTAAGATAAATGGTGATACTGGCAGATTTTTCTCTCTGCAGCTAAAAAGCAAATCAGTGTTTCCACAAACACAATTTTTCTTCAAATGCATGATATTGAAAGAATAATCTAGAGAAAGACTTGTATGGACAAGGGATTACTGAGGATCTACAACAGACAACACTGTGACTGAATGACACTGAGTAATTAATGAAAAACACAGGAGGAAATTGACCTCTTTCACTGAGAGGGTCTGTTCCTACAGTGACCAAATTCTGACCTCAATTATATCTGTGTGACCTTATCTAGCACCATCTGTTCAAAAATGCATGCCTAGCTCCTTTTTGCCGTCTCAGATTTTCTGTAAGTGTGCTTTGAAATCTAATTAAGTATTGTAGTTATAGCTGTAATTTGTTTATATTTCATTCTTGATTTTACTTGCACTTTCTAATATTAACATGCACACACAAAAAGCAGATCTGAGAATAATTTTCTTAATAAAAATAATCACCTGTTTGATTAGCATTTGCTATGGAAACTTATTAAGTGTGTATTTTTTTGACATCTAGGAATTTGAATCCATCGTGTTTCTAATAAAGATTTATTCATGGTGAATGTCTCCATCATCTGCCTCTTATATCTTCTAGGAAAGACCCTTGTGCCCTCTCTCACACTTGAGAAAAGCTATGTATAATCATTTTCAAGTTACTTAGTTATTCACACCTGAATCCTCCATAAAACTCAGCATCAGTGTGAGGTATGTCAAAGTGTGTGACATTTAGATCACATGATTATCCAGACCTCTGCTTCCCATACAGTTTTCATGTTCTCATGTCTTCCCCAACAATCTTTTTCCATGTGTTACGTGTTCACTTTTATTTACACTGTAAGGTCTTTTGGGTATGGGTTGTCGTTTCATTTTAAGTTTGTACAGCGTATAGCACTGCTATGTCCTAGCTTAGCTCTCCTTGATCCCTGACAATATGTTAATGAGCATAATATATCTAATGAAAAAAAATGCAGGTGCTAATTATAATAAGCAGCCATCAATAATAATTAAACAATAATAAACTCATCTTTCCATTGCTAAATTTGCTTCTGTTACCACTCTTGTTTTTATCAGATTGCTAAATTACAGTATCTTTCTTTCTTTGTAACCTCGGAATAATTATTACCTGTCACAGAATATTATGTTCTTACAGTATTATTTCGGCCTATTGTAGCATTCTGTCTCAAACCAAGTTATGTGTAATATATTTCCTATGTGTAATTGCTGTACTGGTCCACTGCCATAATAAAGTTGTCATATGGAACATGTAATGGACCACTTTACATTGTTGGAACTGCTTTTTTTATTACAACTCCTTGTAACTTTATGATGTCTTCATAAATGTGATCCATGGCAATAATAAAAGTTGTTGGACAAATATAGAAAATTACTGTTTGCTTTCCCCAAGTCTGAAAGTTATCTTGACATTGTTAAATGAGCATACTTAAAGTTTTGAATGTTGAAAGGAAGGTAACCAGAAACTTGTGTTATACAAATATTATTTTAGAAATACGGCAATTTACAATGTCTGCATCTATTTCATGTGGTTTGTTTATGCCTACCAACATTTTTAAACAGGATCCTCACCAAGTTAGGATTATCTAAGACGAGTGGATGTATCAACATGTGCAGCACTCTGATGTGTTCATGGTTAGAATGCCCTAAAGTGATAAATAATTGCTTTGGGAGGTAATTTACAGTGTGTAAGCCCCAACTTCGAAAAGAAAATTTTGTGATGTCTGTGCGTAGTGCTCCGCCCAAGTTGTTCTCTCTGTAGTCTTTGTTAGGAGACACTAATGCCATTCTGTGTTTTTCCACATATAGACTGTACAAACGAAGCCCCTTGTTTTATACTGGCTTCTGCGTCTCGTACTCAGGTTCATCTGCATAAAGCTTGCTGAGGTATCAGTCCTGTAGTGTTCAGTGTAAAGATGGTTGAAAACCTTTGAAGAGAGATTTTAAGAATGGGGCTGAGAAGTGGTAAAGAGCTAGTTTGTACTCCATGATGTCTGAACTGGATGTATCCACTGCTCTGCAGCGTTTCTAAACCACTGAAGAAGTGTACAAATCAGGTCAAAGTCGTTTTGAGCATCTGTTTCAGCAATGTACCAACCATTCAATTACTGTCCTTTGCAAGTTCCACTGGACTCTGATACTAACCATGGGGGTTATTAAGTGGGAAATACATCTTTTTTGGCTTCAGACTGACAAACTAGAATCTCTAACAAAAACCCTCTTGATAGCATTTTACCAACTGTATTTTAAGATGAAATGGCTGAGATACAAAGCACAGAAATACAAAGTTATGAGCTTCCACTACATTTTTAAGTTCGTTTTTGTGCCAGAAATTGACCTTCTGTACTGATTAAATTGTAAGATATGATGCCTAGAGAGAAGGGGGCAAGCCAGTGGTTAAGCAGCAGGTGTGAGTCTGAATTTACTTACTTTGTGAGGATTTAGGCTGATCATTTGAGTATAATAATCTCAACTTTTCCTGGCCACACAAGTGCAACACCACAGAATGCAAAGGAGACTGTGTAGATTGAAACAACAGCAGAATTTTGCTTCAGATTTTGTGTGTTTTCATTCTAGATAAATGTTTCTCAAATTCTAGAAGTTGAGAGAAAGGAGTTGTATTGTGCATTTGCTGTCATCTTTGATACTCACTTTTGGAATAAGATTATGAGCTAGACTCACCACATACCCTAGATAAATCTCAATAAAATAGATTTCTTCCTATGTTTACTTTGCTCCAGGGTTGTGATTTCAGAATTACTTTTTAGGCTTAGACTTTAGAGTCACATTGAAAGGGGAAGCTACATTGCTTTTGTAACATCAATACAAATTCAGATTGTGAATAGTTAAACTGACCTTTCAGACCCCTACCGCTGCTTCCACCAACAGAATTTTTCTTCAGACCTTTACAGTGGTGGATGGCCCCATTGGCTTCATTGGAGAACTGTCTGGTAAATGACTACTCCCTCATCAGCAGACATAGTTCACCTAGGAGGCACACAGGGCAACTGCCTGGAGCTGTGTGCCATGCAAGGACATGCCTAGCTGCCT